TTCTTCATCGGTAACACACTCTTATAGTATCCACTGTTCTTCGTGTATTCCTTCGTAACCTTTCCCCATTTACCATTATTTGATCATTTCCGAGGTGTTGTGTGGTGCAGTGCCGTTCATCGAATCCGAAAGCGGAATAAGACTACTCGTCGAGTAGTACTCGAAGCTACACATGGTGTACCTGAACCAGAGTGCCACTTGGCGTATTCATTATTCACGCTAAGAGCTTTAACCCTGTACGGTTCCATTTACAGGTAGACCAGTTTTGAGTACGGTGAAACGAGTACTGACAGTACTCGTTTCAGTACACAGTACTGTACTGTGTGTCAAGGTACGTGAAAGTTGCACCTTAGGCTTGATGACGATGTGGTAGTTATTCGTTTTCAACGAAGCGCAGCTGAACTGGTCTGGCAGATCCTATAATTCCACTTCGGTTGCTTCTGCAACCTTCAGGCGCTTGTGCATGCGTGTTAGCCAATCATGTGTCTCCCGGAACGGCGCACGTTCCGTGGCGCACGGCTAAGCGACGTTCATACTATGAACTTCATAACCTTTCCGCTTCAACGCCAATTCACCGCGTTCCGAATACAAGAAGTAAAACTCCGAATGAGTTACGCAATAATCCCGCAAGAATGCATTATGAAGCGTTTGACTGTAACAGGTATGCATGAGGACGCAATATAGCTTCAATAGAGAAGCTAGGCCCGACTTGTCTCCCGCGGTTTCCGTGACCGACCCAGATAGCATCAAGTTGTGACCTTGAAGCTGTGACCTGTGTTCTCTCGAGAGCGCAGTGAAAAGGAGGGGCGGACGGAGGGAGCGGACGCGTGCAAGCTATCGGGATTGTTTCACAAGGACACTTAAATCAAGCCGCCTCTAGTTTAGGAGCAACTTGAGGAATTACTCAAGCAAAATTGAGGAGTACTCAACTTACTTCACAACGTTACGAAATTGCTCGAGGGGCTCCTAGCGTAAGACGTCCTAAAGTATCTACTGAATCGCGGTTACAGACATGAGATGGAGTTAGGTACATCATATCATGGTATGAACGCTGGCGCGGTAAGCTTCATTACTCTTGGAACGATCGTAGTAGGTTCGTTCCCGAGGTATGACATCTGTATACTTGTTCGTGGCTCTGCAGCCGCTTCTGTTGCTTGGATGCGACTCATAATCGATATTATCGATTCCATAACATGAGACGGGGAAAGTTGTAGAGATCTCTTTTGCAATCTATTCGTGAAGATGTATGATCAGCTATGCAGAGACGTGCAATCGCGCACGAAGGGTAGGAGCAGCAACAGCTCCCTTCCCTCGTTGGTAACGAATAAAAACTACATGGGAAATCGCTGCTAATCACAATATTGACTAGAGTCAAATCACACTCCGCTAAGTGAAAATATACTTCTAATGACGCACATCACTAAGTCACTAAAAATAACTGCGAACGTAGCTCTCATGAAGAGCACTCCCGATACCATCCACTGGAACATCTGTGGCACAGAAGCTGAGATTGGCACAGATTCGGTGCCAATCTCAACTTCTGCTGTTCAAAAGAGCTAGTATTGTCTCCTCGCAATTTTATACTGATGTTCTGCAACCATAATATTCGAATACGGAATAAAGTACCCGCTTGGCTAGGGCCAACTCTACCTAGATCGAACTTTAGGAATACTAAAATTTCGCTTCGAGTACGCATGTAGTGGAAATTCCACTGCGGAATGCCTCTCGTAGATACTGCATGAAAGTCATGCATGAAAACTTAGCGCACCTCGAGTATTTCTGAACTCAAGGCGCCTTCAAATGTTCAAGGCCCTGAAAGTCTCCGACACTTCTAGATAATCAAAGGTTTTCAGAGACATATTGGAGGTAACCCTGGCTAGTCTAGGCCTTACCATCGAGCTGATTTGCGAACACTGCAGTGCGGCACACGGGTATCTCGCTCTCTATTGAGAAAGGAAATCCAAGACCGAGAAACTGAGGGTTGGAAAGCGTAAGCACAGAGGTGCAGTGCCCGGCCATGGGATGTTCCCCACCCGTTCACGCAGGGTCAAGTATCCCAGAAACATTTGAGGCCAGTCGTTTCTCTTCTTGAGCCGAGCTGATTCACTTAAGATCAAATTTTCCGGGTTTTCGAAGCCGTAATGTGCTGCCAATTTCGACCAGTACCTTGGTGTAAAATGTGACCAAAAAATTTTCTCGAGAATTTGATCCATGCCATTTAAGCAATATAAGACTCGGAAAAAGTTATATACGAACGTTCAGCTACATTTGAGCTCTAGGTGAAAATTTATGCCCGTGACACTAAACTGGCCCTTTAGATCTTGTGTTCATTCTAAGTGGTGCTGATATTCTGATATCCTTCATGCTCTCGTAGAATCCACCAAGTTTGTAACCTGCTCAAATGTAACATGGCGAATGAGCAATAGAGTGAGCCCCTTTGGCGAGCAGCAGAACTACTTCGTCGCAAGCTAAGAAATCCGTCCCATCCGGCGCCACCCCGGAGGATGGAAGCCAAAGCTAGTGCACTAAGTCGTACCTTTCTTGGATGGGGAAGCATCGGATAATCTCGAGTAAATAACACGACTCGATGAAATGTGCTCCTGTTGCCACTTCACGCCATCTGGTTGAAGCAACACTTACTCACAACTCACGCCTTCGGTGATATCGACCTTGTAGTCAGCATCACACATCCCCTCAGAGTGTTCGTGGTACTTCTCGATCAACCTGTTGAAATCAGTCTTGGCGTGGACGTGCGCAACACGAATGCTCGTATGCCGAGCACCGGTCTTCGGCAATCTCATCACACTCCCTACCTCTTGAGACGATATAATCCGTGAAGGCTCAACAGTCGCAGAGGGAGGGAGAAACACGCAACCGACTCCGAAAAGAAGAGCCACAGCAAAGTGTACTTTGGAGACTCTGGCCTGTACCCACGGAACTGATGAACTTGCTAGTCACAATGATCGAGCCAGCATAACTAGTAGAATACATAAGAGGCTGCTCGTCGAGAGCATATCCAGAACAAGGAGAAACACAAGTCTGAGTGAGCCTTCCTAAGTTCACCCTGAATCCAGCACGCCACAGCGAATGCTGATCTTTCTCAGACTGTGCAATGAGATGCTATACCCTGAAAGCTGACATTGAGTAAAACTCTCAGTGACACATACTATCAACACAAAACGCCTCAAGTTACCAGCCGAGTACAAAGCCTTCGAAGTGTAGACCCCTCGATAATACGCAGCAATCGTTATTGTGATGATCGCTACTCGCAGCTTAGTCATCAGCATGGACACCACCACGACCAGAGGTCTTGGTGTGCTGGCCACGGACTCTGATGCCCCAGTAGTGACGGAGACCTCTATGGAGACGCATCTTCTTCATACGCTCCAAATCCTCACGCTTGGAAGCATCCAAAAGATTGGAGTACTTCTGAGAGTAAGTACCATCGACGGGATCATGCTGTCTGTTGAGGAACCACTGGGGGATACGGAACTGTTGAGGGTTGGAGATGACCTGAGCAACACGGAGGTGGGGACGGAACTCGTTCGAGCTGCTAGTGTAACTGACCTGAACGATCTTCTGGATCTCCTCCTGAGTGAGCTCGCCAGCACGCTTGTTGGTGTCGACCTCACACTTCTTGCAGATGAGAGTGGCGAAACGACGGCCAATACCCTAAATGAAGGTGAATGGGGTGAACGAGGGTGAATGCAAACATCAACACTAGCGGTGTTACGAATAGAGTCTAACAGGAAACAGAGGGTTGTAGTATCCTATCCCGAGTAGCACCTTGATAGCGGTCAAAGCGTAAGCAACCTTGACACGTCCATCGACGTTAGTATTGCAAATACGCTGGATATGCTGGAAGTCGCCCTGGTTAATAGGGAGAGACATCTTCGACTGGCTGTGACTACGGAGACCACCGTCTTACGGCCATAGTATAGCTCCCACCACCCAAATCGATTAGAATGGCGAGCGAAAAGCGCATTTTCGTTTGAGTAGGTATTCTCTCTGTCGATGGTTTCGTGGACGGACCCTGCCTGCCTATTGCATTGACCGCCAACAGAGCCAGTAGCAACCACTTCATCTTCAGTATTGATCAATACAGTTGGTACGATACGTATGATATCGCATGACTTTACCCGATCTCGAGTGTTTGAAGTGTTGTCATGTCGAGGTGTCTTGTTTGAGTAAGAGTTCCTAACATAGATGTGAAGTGGGCGATAGATGTACTGTTATTCTTCGTTGTTGAAGCCGGCTAGAGTTTTCCCGGGAACATCTCAGCATTACCATCACCGGTTTATAACGCAGCAAAGTTCTCGCATACTCACTTCTTGTTAAGGAAATTCCACTTCGTTAGACCATTCTGATATCTTCCCCGAGTTCATTGAGACTGAACAGTTACCAGTCACTAATATTCATAGACTAAGATGAAGTTCATCCAGCATAGCTATCTATTCGAGATGAGTTACGCCATTGAAACGGCACAGAATACTGTTTCTCTCTCTCGCTATCGGCATACGGCCAGGCGACTCCAAAACCACAAGCTCACGTGGGGCGGAGTAATAAACTAGACTGTGAATCTTCATAGCCTACCAAGTGTGAATTCCACAGCAAAGTTTCTGGTAGCGGTGTCGTAGCGCAAACAAAGAGATAGCGCTGGCACCAACTATAACTGAATAGGTATAGCCGTTGAATGAATCCTTTGCCCCAAAATTGGGATTTCAACTTGGTAGATTTCATTTTTCAAACTGATTTGGAAGTTTCCCATACTTTTTTCATTTGATTCGAAGTAGGGCGAACCAAACCACGAAAGGAAGGTCGATGTGGCCCTATATGCCTCGTATAATATGATACGACTAGATGTTCTCCATTAATCGTATTAGCAGCACATACCAAAATACTTATGCTTACCTGCAAGAACAAGAGTGATTCATGGCTAGGGACACTTAAGCTTCCCCCATCTTTTCAGTCGATATTGGTTTTGTTTTTGTAGCAGAATAATGGGAGTGCCTCGTTTCTACCGTTGGCTCTCTGAACGTTATCCTCTTATTAATGAGGTCATCGAGCCAGAGCAAATACCAGAGTTTGACTGCTTGTACTGCTGTTGTCGATCTTTGTAAGACCCATGAGCTCATCGTGTGGTAGATACCTCGATATGAATGGTATCATACACCATTGTTCACATGGTGACACGCCAGATGTAGCAAAACCTGAAGATGAAGTGTGGATGGATATTTTCAAGTAATTGTGGAAATACTCGCATAAATACTTGTAATTTTCTATAAGTGTCGCGCGCAAGGCAAGATCCGGTATGAAAATCACCAAGAATAGATTTCGACAATTTTCTGATCATCGTTGCGGCAAAAGGCAAACAGTGGTATTTTCGCATCGGTGTATGTGCGGAGGATATAATAAATATGCATACTACACGTTGACATGCTTTTGATATCTACTCCTATCGAAAATGCTTTTTTCCCATTCGTGGGAGGGATATATAAATAGTATTATGAAGGTGAATTTGTATATACTTATCATGTTGTGACCGATGGTATGAATCTACCATCACTCTGGTAGGTACATTAGTGATCTGTTCACACACATAAAGCCTAAGAAACTGCTCTATATGGCTGTCGACGGTGTGGCACCGAGGGCTAAGATGAATCAACAACGTAGTCCTCAGTGACAAAGTGATGCGCCACTTTAGAGGCGTTATCGGGTTAGGATCTCGTCGTTTTCGTACCGCGCTGGATGCAGTAGAAGCTACTGAAAGAGCTGTTAAAAACGGCGATCATCCGAAGTCTATAGGTAGTGAGATGGCAAGGGTGGTTAGTGAAGTAGGGTGGCAGTGGTGCTCGGAAATTGTACAGTACAATGGAGTTCCACCCGTTTTACGTGGAGTGGCGTGAAACTCGGTGAAAAAAGCGATATTCGGGTTAATCGTGAAATATATTTTTCACTAGTGTTTTTCATCTCACTAGGGTGAGACAAAAGGTACAGAGTGTATCGCGCATTATTAACTTCTGGCAACGGAATGAACTATAGTGTTTTCACACGGCTTGTTAGTCTTGTATGGGCCGGTTTTGGTGTCAGCTGTATGGAAAAAAATAGTCTTTTTTACGTTAATACCGTCCATCCGGCACATCGTGCTTGCATAAGGCCTCTTCATCTCGCTATTACTACTGACAGATACGTTCTTCGACAGCAATTCAATCACCCCCGGTACAGCCTTCATGGAAAGGCTCACTGTACAGCTCAGGTGTGGTTGCATCCTTCCAATTGTAACGGCCATCGTCCTCTTGTAGATTTTTCGCTCAGAAGATGATCAGTGAGAACCCTCTATGGCAGGGAGTAGAAGTGGTCGTCTCTGGCCCTAATGTAATACTACGAATCTCGACGGCTGTAGTAGTAGTAGTAGTAGTAGTAGTAGTAGTAGTAGTAGTAGTAGTAGTAGTAGTAGTAGTAGTAGTAGTAGTAGTAGTAGTAGTAGTAGTAGTAGTAGTAGTAGTAGTAGTAGTAGTAGTAGTAGTAGCAGTAGTAGTAGTAGTAGTAGTAGTAGTAGTAGTAGTAGTAGTAGTATGAAGATCGTGAGGATAGTACTACGACTTATTGGAAAGTGTCCGAACTAGAAGTTTCGGAATGGTTAGAGGGATATTGTGTCCAAGAGGTTGTTAGTCAAAAGCGTCTACGCTGGTTTGGTCATGCCCTAAGACAGCCCAAAGGTATGATTCAAAGAGACTGGATTGAATCAGAAATCGAGACTGATTCTAAGTGGATAAAGTTGGTCAGAAGGGACGTTGAGGATCGTGGTGGAAGATGGAAATATATCCGGCAGACGGTGTTGGATAAAGGGAAGTGGCATAAATTTACTATTATTCGTAGCGCGCATGTCCCATAGTTGGATCCAAGCGCTAAATGAATGAATGAATGAGTAGTAGTAGTAGACTTCTAGCACGGGTCGTAGTAGTAGTGGTAGTAGTAGTAATGTAGACTACTACTAGTAGTGGTAGTAGTATTGGAAGCTCTAGGTACCTGGCGAGGGTGAACATAAGATAATGGATTACATTAGAGCAACGAAGTCCCAGCCAGACTACGATCCTAATACACGGCACTGTGTGTAATAACCCCATCGTGGCCCTCGTGTCCATTATTATAGTATATAAGGTACGGTCTGGATGCCGACCTGATCATGCTCAGTCTGGCGACACATGAGCCTTATGTGAGTACTTGGATTAGCGTATGGTGTGGTATGTGGTAATGGCAGGTGGCGTTATTGCGGGAGGAAGTGATCTTTGGCCCGGAGAAAACGGACGCTCGAGCGTTGGTCAGACCCGATCGACTGCAACTACTGCATATCTATGTAGGTTAGTGTTGGAATATACATCCGCTTTACTCAGCTCGGTTCGGGAGTTTCCTCACTTATTATGGGAGTTTATATACGGATTGGGGTAGAAGTATTTTGCAGCAACTAATGAGAATTTCCTTGAAATTTTCTTCGTATTGTCATCGATACATGTAGTTGACCATGTGCATATTTCCCCGCACTGCGCTGGATAGTGACAGAATGAGCATGGCTGTGCTACAGTGTGAAGTTATATGCTACCATTTAGAATTCGATTACAAGCAGAAGAGTTTGTTCAACGACTCGTTCGCTCGAGTGGTGAAATTGGTGCGGATGGAAAACCTCAGATTTTTTAGTCGATTCGTTACAGGTTTTGAGAGAGTATCTCGCACTGGAGTTCGGCGAGGAAGATCTCGAGCGAGTCATTGATGATTTCGTTCTCTTCTGTATGTTGGTTGGCAACGACTTCCTGCCACATCTACCCTATACTGGCGTCGGGGACGGCGGCCTTGAGCGCCTTTTCGGTGCATATAAAGAGTAAGTACCATGAAAATTTCCTCCGACAATTGGGCACAGGCAATACAACTATATGAGAAATTATGTTCGAAATTTTAGCTCCAAAGTCGTTGTGTAAAAAAATCACCACCGCACGCGTTTTTCTCGATTTCATAGTACAAATAGTAGTAAATAAATATATTATATTTTTATCGCTATTATAACATAATTATAATATTAATGGAGTTTCACCCGTTTTACGTGAAGTGGCGTAAAGCTCGGTGAAAAACGCGATATTTACACTATGCAGTGGTCGTAAAATATGTTTTTCACTAGTGTTTTTCATATCACTAGGGTGAAACTCCAATTTAAAATATCCCTTGTAATATACCTTCATAGATAGATAGGATATGACCAGTAATGTATGCGTGTTGTATGGGTCAATCGTCTTTGCAATTTTTGAATTTTCCGATACCGCCAGTTCGAGAATCTTGGAAATCTCTTGTTGTTTTCAAATAGTTGACATAATAATAATAACAAATAGTTATTACAAATGATATAATAACGTAATAATATATCTACGCTATCGGGAGTAGATATAAATACAGTGGGTGTCAATTTGATATGCATATGTGTGTTATTTTGTAAGACAAATGATAGTGAACAAGTTGTCGCTATCATCACAGTCCCCAAACGAGTAGCCGTCGTTACATTGTATATGCGATATAGTTTCGAATCGATTCTCATTGATTTGCATATCAAATTGCCACGTACTGTACATGTCAACGTGTGGCTGGTATCAGTACTATCCATATCCTAGGGCGCGTGTTGGGGGGGGGCAATAAATGGGTGTTATAATCACAGTGCTTGCCTTGGCCGGACTGTGATTTTGAGATTGATAATATTCACTATAATTGATCTCAGTACCAGCTTTGGCTGTACGCCCAACAAAAGTAATTGAATAATAAGACAACGAAAAATAATAAAATTAGTTCGGTTGCTCCACTGCCACCAAAGGGTCGGATGATGTGAAGTTATCAGTGTTGTGTCTTCGTTAGGTACCGCGAGAAGCAGATATCTAGTGCTGATCCATGGCTGGTCGAGCATGGGGGTGGTATCAACTGGGCTAACTTCCTACAGTACCTCACTGTCTACAGCTCTAGCGAAGAGAAATTCTTAGCGGATGAGGTGTCCAAAGGTCATTGGCAAATCGGAAGTGAGCGAGAGAGAATATTATTTTCTCCATACCACACCTTTTTCAATTCAGAGCGCCGTCGTTGTGGAGGTAACGGACGTGGAGGCTCGCATATGAGCTATGAGTATCAACTTAAGACTGGTTTCGGATACCCCAGTAAGTCTTGTATCATTAATCGCGTCGGTCTCGACTTAGTCGTTTCTCAGAATCTCCAGAGGAAGCACGGCTTCAGTTCTATAAAGTGAAGGGTGAATGTGATGATAAGGCGGAGGTAGATGAACTGGTCAGAGACTATTTGGAAGGCTTGCAGTGGTCGTAAGTAGTGCCCTCTTGGCTGGTCGAAGAGGTTCACGTTGGTGTGGTATGACTTTGTCGTAGATATTCGTATTATTACCGCGGGCCTCCATCCTGGCACTGGTATTATCGCCACCATTATGCCCCCTTTGTGTGCACTATGGTCAATGACTTTGACGATTTCGTCGCGGCTGGAGGGCAGATCAAGTTTGATGGCGGTGGACCGGTAACGCCATTTCAACAGCTTATGACTGTAAGAATCAGTGGGGGGAAAATATGTAAATTCTGAGAAAATTTCGGGATATTGTCGTTGGTTTTTGTACACTTCTAACCGAGATCGTGTGCGAAAGTTTATAATGTAGTGAGGAAATCTACGAGCTCAGTTGAAGAGAGCAAACATATATTCTCACACTGGTGAGCGGTTCCTTCGCATAGATCATCAGTTTCACATTAGCACCACATGAAATTGGGATTCAAAGTCGACTATGTTGTATTGGTTTCACACTGTATCTGCGTACACTAGTTTACAAATTTACATTTCACAGTAGCTCACCCTGAATTTGAAACTATCGTTGCCTTAGATATCATCCCTTAAAGTGAGCGTATTTTGATGAACAAAGTGAACGGCTTTGTACGGTGTCATTTTAGGTGCTTCCTGCCTCGTCGGGTCAGAGGTTGCTACCCAAGATCTTCGCCAAGCTCTTCACATCATCGTCATCACCGGTGAAGCAATACTATCCTGAGCGATTCGATATAGATATTGATGGCGTCAAGGCCCCTTGGGGAGGTACTCAACTACTGGTTAGTCTCGAATACACTCCTAGTTGCTTTTTTTCGAATAGTTTTCTTGTTTTTTCGTTGGTTTTTGTGGCTGGAATATATTACGAATGAGTCTATGAGAAATTCTGTTGATCGGTAAAAGTCTTAGTGGATGGTAGGTCTCGGAATAGAAGTGGTTCAGCAACAGCGTGGGAGGAAATGCACATGGTCAACTACATGTGTTAGTGACAATATGAATTTTGTGGGGGATGTTGGAGATATTCTAGATTAGAATATCTCCAACTTCCCTAGAATTCCAATTAGAATTCCTAATACAGTTTCTGTGCACTTCTACTCGAAAACGTATGCAAACTTATATTATTGAAAAAGCTCCTCAGCTCAGCTGAGGAAAGCGAACATGTACCCCAACACTGTCGACGTCGTCAGGTACGACATTGATTAATTTCGTTGACGAAGATGTGCTGTTTGACGCAATGAATGCTGCTATTGCTGAGTCGGAAAGGACGGGGCAGGACGTCTTAACAGAGGCTGAGAAGGAGAGGAATGTTAATGGTAATAGGAAGGGAGTGAGCTCTCTCGGTAGGAGTACGATAGATGAAGACGATGTTGTGATGGTATGCAGAGTATTCGATAAGCGGGTTTTGACTAAGATTGGGAAGTTTCCCCCAAATCCAGGCCAGTTCTTAAAAAACCGGAAACCTTTTTCGGAAACCTTTTCTGATTATCTACACATTTTTCTTATCGTGTTTACAATAAGTCTTGAAGTAGCGAAAAAAGTTTTTCAATTCGACACGGAGCTCAGAAATTTTCAATTAGTTTTGCGCTTTTAGAAGAAGTTTATTCTGTGCAAGAGGTAATTCGGTGTCTTTCAGGGGGTGCTTATGTGTATCGATATGATCCTTCGGTGAAGCCAGTGACGGTCCAGTCTACTGTGCCGAGGTTCTTGCAGGACTTGACAGGGGTTACGGTGGATGTGAAGCCTTTTCGTCATCCGTCGCTACCAGAAGGGATGGAGTACTTCCCTCATTGGGTGTTGCCACAATGCGACTTGCATAAATACAAGTGAGTGCTGATCGATATGTCTCAATCGTAAACGTTTGTATTTTGTCAGGGACAGTTGGCCTTCCCTTCACACTAAGGCGGTGGTGCCTCAATATGCAGTGGGAGTGAAGGTGTTTAATTTCGCCAGTCAACGACAGTCGATGTTCCTCACTGTGGAGGAGTCCTACGACGAACTGATGGTCACATGCAAAGAAATGATGGAGGCTTATACTGTTCAGGTGAGAGAGCACCTCTTAGGATAATAAACAGATGGTTCTTACCTTATGATCAATACAGTAATCATGAAGTATACGCTAGGCCAGTGAGGAAGAGAAGTATTACAAGAATCTGAAATTACGGGGTGGTGGGGAAAAGGGCACACCCTTTGAAATTTCGCGGGACGGGACAGTTGATAAACAAAATGGGTATCCTTAGGAAGCTCTGATGAAGTTCTTTCCGACGCTGCATGGGCGGTTCTGATATTCGCCTTGTGCATTCTAGCTGTGAAAGACTAGGGCGTTTCTTTAGAGCATTTTTGATTGTTGTATAGGAAGAACTGTGTGATCAGATTGACTATCCCTGCGTTCATAAAGGGCGAGTGGTCGCGGTACGGTATATGAGGCCGGACGGCCAGGTGGTGAGGGTGACGAAAGAAGGGGAAAAGTTGGTGAATTCTCGGGCTTTCTTTACGGACGTTGAAGATGAACTAGATTATCGCGAGCGTCATGGGCTGCGTTTTGAGTTTCACTCTGAATATTACAAGCAAACGCCCAACGAGTTGGCTAATGTTCAGCCGATTTTGGAGGTTCGTAGAGTCCTGGCCCATCGCACTGAGCGGTCGGGGAAAAGGATTTATGAGTTTTCACCAAGAACTGAGCTGAGACTGGCAGCATTATGTAGAGTTTTGGAGCCGCACTCGGTACGAGTGGAAGAAGCAAAGACGGGGCGGCAAGTGGTAGTGGGCGAACGAGTGATCTGTTGTGATATGCGAAGTGTTTTTGGAGGGTGTGTCGGTAGGGTAGTGAGCGTTAGCAATGGGGAAGTTGAGGTTGATACGGAACAACCTTCTGGACGGAGTGCTTCCGAGGCGGATTTCGTTGCGAGCAAATTCGTGGGTGGTAAACATAAGGTGGTTTGGTATAGTCCGGAAGTAGCGGCTAGCAGGGCTGGTCTGACGATAGATCTATGGTGGATGATTGTTGGCAGTATCACGGCGAAGCTCGGCAGGGAACGGGTTCAGGTAGACTTTGGGCATCTCCCGTACGGCATTCTATTCTACTCGATACTATAGTTGGAATGTCGAGTCATCCGGTCATCTGTACGGTAACGATTCTGTGAAATAGCATATGTGCATTACGTATGACTGGTTTATGTGATAGCTCTGATGGGAATGGAAAAAGAACTGTTGACTGTGTCGAAACGCTTATCGAGAGATGCCTATGGGCCGCCTATCGAGAAAAAAGATGTGATAGTATTCGAGTCGATATTATAGTTGGAGTGCCAAGTTATTCAGCTGTTTATACGGTAACGATTCCGTCGAAGAGCGTATGGGCGTTACGTATGGCTGCTTCATGTGATAGCCTTCATTAGAACTGTTGAGTGTTTTGAAAGAATGTGTTGCCGTCGTTCAGGTCGGCATGGAGTTGTTCCATTCGACGCGTTTCGAAGTGTCTCCAGGGAAGTCGTCATGGAGGATGTTAGTCATACCCAACTACACTCGTTACAGTCATAATCCTGTTACTCGGCAAGAGCGTTGGTCCTTCAGTAACTATGCTGTACAAGCTGTTGAAGTACTGGGAGGTATTCTTATCAACACTGCGATGGGTTTTCACTTCAGGATTATATGGAAGCTTTTCCCAGTGTATTCGATGGTCTTTGTGACCTGGATCATTTCGACCCGAAGTTAGCACTATCGGCGAAGCGATTGTTGGATACTGATACTGATGATTATGAATATGAGCTTGCCAAGTTGAAGAAGTGGTTGAGCGAACAGGTGAGGAAGGAGGGTGATGGTGGCAGAGAGGAGTCTTTGTTGTGGGACAGGAGTTCCGTCGACTGCCTTTGGTATCTTCGGCGTATACCGCACTACCGCGAATTGGTGTACGATCCTTGGAGGTCTATCTGAATCGGGGAGTGGAAGAAAATCCGACCCCGCCTCGCATCACTGTGACTCCGGAGCAGCTAACACCAGTTGAAAACGCCAAGTTTGTAAGCAAGGCCTGTCAAGAACGGCCGAGAGTCGGCAACAGAGGTAGGTCTCGTGATGGTCGGTACTGAGTAACGCTGATGTGATATCCTCAGCTGTCTATGTTGGGTCTGATAAGCCTGTCCCTGTTGGTGCTAGATGTGTAGTCACATCTGTTTATGGTCGACCTGGTCAGGACATGAAGGTTGAGCTACTCTTTGACCGCTGTACTTTCGGCTGTGATACAGCTTTTGGGAGGTAGGAGGGACCTTCCTGTTATCCGATCTGGTATTACTAGAGCAGGTGCAGTCCAATGCGGGGTCTAGTGGTGTCGCCTTCCGATATACTCGTGCTTCCTGTTCATCCGACATCACCTCTTGTACCGCATACACCTCCTTATGGGAACACCTACTCGTCGCCACCACATGGAGTCACCCTCGACGAGTCCCTGCCTATGAACGGCACTGGAATGAGTCGTAAAGAAAGAAGCAAGCGCAAGGTTAGGAAAGGTGAGAATTATTCATTATGGAGATCGGTGCTATACTTATGTTCTATCAGCCCCCACAGTGACATATGCATCTAGGCATCCTGACACGACGATATTAAGCCACGAGCTTCGTCATATGCTGGGCATATCACCCAACAACAACAACAAGCAGCAGTCCTAGTCTGCTTGCCTGTTCAATCGTATCTTATGACGTTGTAGTTGTTCTCGTATACTGTACTTTATGTTCTGCAGCGGTGCATTACTCGTGTATAGTACTCGGTACTCGTGATAGTTCCATTTTCGGTTGAATCATTGCGTGGTGAGATATCTCTGTTTCTCCACGGTGCGTTATGGAAGTTTCGAGTGGTGAATGAAGAGTGAGTGAAACTATCGTCGTAATTAAGTTCTAGACGACATGGAACAGCTTGCATAAAGCGCGATTAGCGATGGGCCTGAAAATTTTGTCCAACCAAAGAACAACACCAGAATCAGCACTCGTGGATACTTCGCCATATAGATGGGCGGGTTTGTGTTACGGACGGTTATGGCTGGTGATAACGCTCACAGAAGTAAGCCCGTAATGTAAAGAACGGATCACGCGACCAGACTTCATGAGTCATGAAGTCATAGTACCAGTCATGAATCATGTCAGGAACTATGAGGAGTTCAGGAGCTTCCCTCTCACTCTGAGCACTCCTCACGCTTTTTAGAGAGTACTACTAGCCTGATGCTGTTGAGGACCTTAGCTCGCTACCTTGATGCTTAGCATCTTGATTTGTGTGTTTCTGGCATGCATGACTGATGTTCCGGTAGTTGTACCTCAATGAACGTTTCTGATGTGTACACGAGTCGGTCTTCAGTTTTGTCAGTGGGGCATTGGAGGTAAAGATCGTCAATCACTCCCGTAGCGTAAAATCGGAGTTCACGCGTTTCCCAGACGTGATGTGATCAGATCACATCACGTCTGGGAAAAGTTTTTCCCACGGATTCCGTGGGAAAAAGTCACGCTGCGCAGCTACGCTTTAGATGAGATGTATAGTCTCTGATCTTTCTGACCTCTATACCTTCATACGTTACTGGAGCCAAAATGGACCTCAACGGCACGATGTAATCATTAGTTGAAACTTAAAGTTCAAGGGCCAGCCTCGTATGCATGCTGCACAGTAACATAGTCCCGAGCTACTGTTCACGCTATTACGGCAGTGAAGCCACGCGCCCATGTCTCTCCCATCTATAGGTTTGTTCATCGCATTCCTACGGGATTCTCGAGGTGATAGATTTTTGACAGCTTACCGCTCCACATTCGAATGTTCATGCCGAGATTAGCTCGTTACCCACCATCCGCAGTTGATCAAATCATATGGTGACTGCCAACAGCTTCTCAAGTGAGACTCTCCCAATCCAGACTAAGCTCTTCATTAACAACGAGTATGTCTCGGCTAAGTCTGGCAAGACTCTCACATCTATCAATCCCGTGGATGGCACGCCCATCGAGAAATTCGAGGTTGCCGGTCCAGAAGATATAGACATCGCGGCGAAGGCGGCGAGGGAGGCGTTCGAGACGTGGAAAGCCTCTGATGGGTCCTTTCGCAGGGACTGCCTCTACAAGCTTGCCGAGCTCATTCAGCTGCACGAAGACCGTCTCGCTGAGCTCGAGAGTCTAGACAATGGGAAGCCTATTGTGATAGCGAAGGCAATTGACATCAAGCTTTGTCAGAAAATATACAAATATTATGCTGGCTGGGCCGACAAAGTATTGGGGAGTGTCGTACCAGTTGACGGTTCCAATATGTGTCTTACCGTTAAAGAACCCATTGGCGTGGTTGGGCAGATCATTCCTTGGAACTTCCCTCTGGTCATGCAATCAATGAAGTTGGCTCCAGCCCTCGCTGCTGGATGTAGGTGTTCAGCGTGTTTATCGCTGCCAATGTTGTTGAATAGTTCTGATGTGTCGTAGGTACAGTTGTGATGAAGTTATCTGAGAAGACACCCCTCACTGGGCTTCTTTTCGGCCAGCTTATCAACAAGGCTGGATTCCCTCCTGGAGTAGTCAATATCGTCAATGGTGGTCCTGATGTTGGTAAGCACTATAGTTGCTTCTGTGTACCAATCCCAATTCGTGATGGTAGGTGAGATCCTGGCACGCCACATGGATGTTGACAAGGTTGCATTCACCGGTAGCAGTGTTACAGGCCCTAAGATCATCAAGGCCAGTGCCGAGTCAAATCTCAAGAAGGTACACATTCTACTACCGTCACGACACCTGAGCTCTCTTCAGGTTACTCTCGAACTGGGGGGAAAGTCCCCTATGATCGTGTGCGATGACGCCGACTTAGATCAGGCCCTAGCGGCAGCTGATATAGGATTGTTCATCAATCATGGCCAGTGTTGCTGCGTCGCTAGCCGTAAGCAGTCCTATTTTCAAATTTTGATGTCAAGCCTGTGTTGGGCTGTGGTATTCAGGTATCTACGTTCAGCGTGGTGTATATGATGAATTCGTGAAGAAGGCCGTGCAACGCGCTAAGAACAAGAGAGTCGGGGACCCGCGTGACCGAAATTGCGACCAAGGACCGCAGTAACTACCGATACCGAACTCGACGATGTTGTTTCTTCTCGCCGTTCCTAGGTTGACAAGATTCAGTTCGAGCGAGTTATGTCCTACATCAAGTCAGGCGTCGAGGAGGGCGCTGAACTTCTCTGTGGAGGGAAGCGTTTGGGAGATAAGGGGTAGGTCTTGGGGGACGACGAAAATTCATTCGAGATAGTTGGGGGAGGGAATCGCCCCATCAGTGTGCCTGTGGTAATGGAATATACCTATCAGGTGCTTCATCGAGCCAACAGTGTTCGGCAACGTGAAAGATCATATGAGGATATCTAGAGAGGAGATTTTCGGGCCAGTTATGCAGATCGCCCCATTCGACGTAAGCTGAGCGAGACCGCCCTGTTCAAATTGCCGCCTTTATTCAGACCATGGAAGAGGTCGTCAGGAGAGCTAATGATACTCCATTTGGTCTGGCTGCGGGTATATGCACTCGCAACATCGGTAAGGCTACCAGAATTGCCAAGGAGCTCAAGGCCGGTGAGTGTCGAACTTGGTGTCTGTTCTGAGTGAGATGTTGGTGGTAATGATGTCAGGTACAGTATGGGTCAATTGTTACCTTAACCTCGATGCAGCAGCAGCCTTCGGTCGTTATAAACTGTCAGGATGGGGACGTGAAAATGTGGGATATCAAGCCCTCGAAAGCTCCTCGCACAGATTTCTCTTTCAGGGAGCGGAGGGTCTTGAGAATTATCTCGAGACTGAGTCAATCATGTGGCCCGTTGACGAAACCATTATTTGATTTCAGAATTTTCTCGTTAACGACGATTTTCCTACCAGTTATGTCTTCCGACACTCGTCTTTTCTCACATCTAAAACGGTTCCAGAATTGCCTATACTCGTTTGGTTCACCCGAGTAAAGCTGAGGACCTCAGCCTGAGGTTCTCAGGAATGGGAAACAGACTCTAGACCTCGTTGTTCACGATACTTGTTGATCGTAAATCAACTCATACGAATTCTCCTGTCGAACTGAACTACTTGATCGCTTCGTCGATCCAGTCTATCCTCTCACACATTCGCAATCACTCGAGCATACGCTACCAGACCGCAAGGCCGAATGCAACTGTAACGTTATACACGTGATGAGACTTAGGACGCCACAGCGCTGCCACAATACGTGAATGCTCGTTGAAATATCTATATGTGGCGTGACGCCACTGGCGTCGGATGAATAACGGCAACTGTCAGGAACACTCAGCGCCGCTATTTTTCATGAGAGAAACAGCTATACGTGACACGCATTTTTGGGCGTGCGCTTTTCTCATTTCCCGATAGCAGTTGTTGGTGACCAACACGGCGATGGTTTTCCTCAGGTACTTCTAATGCACTTCTATCATGGTCTTTGCTAGTCTCCAATGTTGAGTTTCCGCCTCGATGAGTTCAGTGACTTCGACGTTCTCCCCGTTACTCCGTAGGTGCACATATAATGTCTGTCAAACGTCCGTCTTCAGACATCAGTGGCAACAACAACAACATAAGAGCTCCGACTTTTCCCGAGGGCTCTAACACGACAGCCTCCGATTGGATTACCCCCAGGCAGGCTCAGAAGCTCCGTCGTGTGGCTAGTCTAACGCCTCATGTTAAACTCCAGCATCAGAATCAGAAGGCTATCAGCGTCCACGATGTGCAGAATTTCCTGCTCTGGGCTACTGGCTCTGAGGCGGGGGTTATGCCTCGTTGGTGTGTATTGGAGAATATGCACACTGTGAAGAATATTACGGTGGTTATGACGCCGTATTTCGACATTTCTTCCTTACTAGAGGCCGCTGGGAAGACCGCGGGAGGTAGCAGTGATTATCCGTTTTTGGGGTATGCGCTTCGAAAGTGCATGCGAGCCGGGTCGTGGCGGCCTCCCAGTGGGAAGCCTCCGCCTAGTTTAGAGAAGGTTTGTCCGGTGCTCAAGCATTTCTTGCAGCTGATGGTTGCCAAGAGCAAGATACCGCAAAAGCTGCGCCCCAAGACTGCCCACTCTAACGAGAAACCAGTGTTGATCCCTATTGCGGATTTCCTGATGACTACTACCAACATGATCGCCAACGAGTTCCCAGTACACAGTGTAAGCGGAGTCCCTCCTGAAGGATACGTAGAGTGTCGAACGTCATTGGGCGAGCACAAGAGACCGCCCATACCTGCCAGTGCAGGCGAGGGTGTTCCTGCCTTTGTGTTCAACGACAAGGACTACAAGAATCTACTGGCCATCGACTGTGAGATGGTTGATACGGCTGATGGTCTGGAGCTAGCTCGCTTAAGTGCCGTTGACTCGGGGGCGAAGACTCTACTGGACATGTACGTGAAGCCAGCTAAGCCTGTACTGGACTACAAGACGGAGTTCTCGGGGATAACGCGGGAGTCTCTGGTTGGTGTCACGGCTACTCTTAAGGACGCTCAGAAGGCCTTGATGGATTTGATGGACTCGGAGACCATATTGGTTGGTCATGGTCTCGAGAACGATCTCAAAACTCTTAAGATGGTCCATAGGCGTATTATCGACACCTCTGACTTGTATCCTCATCCTGCTGGCCCCCCTAGAAAATCAGCACTCAGCTATCTGGTCCGGAAGGTTCTCAAGTCTAAGATGTCTCGGGAGTCAACTGGTATGCATGATTCTACTGAAGATGCTTTACAGGCTATGAGGCTTTCTATTCTCAAATTCGCCAAGGGGCCGTACTGGCACCCTGACGATGAGGATAAGTATGGTCTCTCTCTTGCCTCACTTGTCGGTGGTATACGTATTCACGGAGAAGATGTTGATCGTGCTACAATGGTGCAGCGGTATGGCGAACGCGCGATGACTGGCGTGCTCATGCCTGATGAGGAATCTGAGTCGTCAGAGCCCAGAGTTCAACTTCATGTCTTGCGAGGCTTTCAACGGTGGTGTGAGCTACAGCAATCTGGGCCTGGTTTGACCAAGTCCAGTAGAGCCTCTAGCAAACAGCATAAGCGGATGGTCATGATGAAGATTGATCTCACTATCCGAAAGCTTCTACGCAGCATGTCCAAAGGCGATTTACTCGTGGTTTTCTCTGGTTGTGGTGATATGGCCCAGTACGCCACCGCCTTTGACAACTACCGGAAGTCGGGCCAGCATGAGGCCAAACGCCTTCTTGAACTTTCACGGGAAAAAGTTGCTCGAAGTTTCACCATGTTCACTAGTGTGGCTGATGTCCCAGCAGAGCTATTGGCCGACTCCCCAGTGAACGTCCCGCCGCCTACGTCATCATCTTCATCGGCTCCTTCTGCGACGTCTCGTGTTGTCGAGAGTGACTCCGAAGAGAGCTCACGAGAGACCTTCCTCTTCCAAGCCACTAGCGAGACTTCGACTGAAGAAGCCCAGCCGAGTCCGGCCGATGTGGCTGTTCGCTCGTGAGAATGACTGTCTCCCAAGACTGCAACTTAGTCGCCTACTAGCCATAATACCATTGTACACTTTCATCGTCTGCCTAGATTCGATCTCTGTCTGTGTATCAATTTCGCGCATTTGCTCCCAAAAGAAAAGTAAAAGAAAGTAAAAAATAGTGGATTCGTCATTGAATCCGATGATAACAGACGTCTTGTTGCGTTGTCCGGTTTGAAGCAGGTGAGGGAGGGAGGGAGTCGGCCTTACTTAACACAGATCTCAGTCATTTGGCAGCGGACTGGTAAACTTGATTGGGGCTCCAAGATCATCTCTGCTAACGCTGCAGGAAGTTAGACCATCAATAAACGGAAACACTCCAGAAATGCAATCTGGCAGCACTTCTCCCTATACACGGTTTTCTCCAAATCGTCATAACTTATGTAGCAGAGTATGAAAAGTCTGTTTACGGTGGAAACAATCAACGACGTCGTGTGACATAGGTCGTGTATTAAACTGATTCTTCCGGATAAATCATGCCAGTAAGCCATCCTCGGATTGGCATAGCTCTCACGAGTGACAAGGGGCAGCTATGCCGGGGGAACGATTTATGCTATTTTTTCGAAATTGGAGTGACTTCCAACGTGCCGGCAAATTTGATCAGCTTATGATCGCGTTCCAATGTTCTGCGTGCGCTAAGATTGTTCTAAGACATTTCTTGAGTTGGCATAGGTGCCCCAGAGGATAAATTGATCGTACTAATAAGAGCAGAATAGATCTGCCGAAGCCCGGATAGACTTTCGTATGATCGATACTCGCTCAAATATAGCATTCAGAAACCAATTTGGCGGATGGGGCCGCTATGCCGCGGGAATTCTCGTATTATCTGACGCCTCGAATCTGCGAATGATCGTCAGAGAGCAACCGAAGAAACCTCCGACTGAACCGTGCATATCAAGAATTTGCAATACCCTTCTCTTTCCATTCAGACCCGTTGAGGAGCTCGGTGAACAACAAAGCGAGGTCACTGGGGAAGAGTGAACACAGTTCATGTTTACGTGCTCATTCTATTATGCTGCCTCACCATGCAATAATACTGTGCTTATAACTTGCAGTTAACTTGTTTATAACATTTTTATAACACTGCAATAGGCTAGCGCAAATACACTTACAATGCATATCTGTCTATACATGCCTATGGGATACCAGCTGGGTACTTATATATAGCAATTACCGCAATGAGAATATCACACACTTTTCGGGATTGAATTCAAAAAGAAAGAAGTACAAGTAAAAGACAGATTGACAATAGTCTAATGGCGTCAGTCGACGCTGATGAGTTCGGATTCTCGGCACCCAGTGGAGGTATGGTGGTCGACGAATTCGATGGTGGTATCGGATTGGTAGCGTTAGAGTCCTTCTCGAGCACGAATAGCGATAGCAAAGGTAGCGACAGTGTGTTGGCGACCTTATTGTACTGAATCGTCAACAGACCAACTGGTAACGCGGGAGCCACAGCACGCAGCTCATCGTAGACATTCTTGAGGCAGATTGCTTCGGCGAAGTCCACGATAATCGTCGAGTCGTTAGAGTCAAAAGTATACGGCATGTCAGCACACTGAGAATCAATTTGTGGAATGAGCGGGGAGTCCGTGTTGATCCTGATGACAGTATCGATAGTGCTGGTGATGTTGTCGATATTCACCGACACATGCACTTCGTCCGAGTTGGGTAGAACATAGAGACCACGAGGCACTCTGTTAGCTGCTGAACCATTAGGAGCCGGTGTGGGCAGTACCAAGTCGCTCGTGGTGAACGGATCGGGAAGCACTGCGCCTGGCGTTCCTGTGCAGATCTGAAGTTCGTCGCCGCATATACCCATGCTACAACCGACACAGTCCGCCGAGAACTGCTGCAGGCAAGCTTGTTGACAAGCCGTGGCAGCGCAAGAGTAGAGCTCAAAATAGCAAGTGGCACAGGATTTACTGATATTGGTGCTTGCCGAAACACATTCCAGCGCACCATCATTGAAGCCACCAGTCGTAGTTACACAGGTGTTGAGATTGTTGAAGAGGGCGGGTCCTCGCCCGACATTGGCAACGTCTGCCGTAGAGCATGAGTCGGCATCCTCACCGACTGTACAAGGGATGATGACCAATAGAGGGATCAGTCGGATGACTTGCATGGTTGTTGGAGGTAAAATAACCGAAGAACTATGCGTAGCTGGGAGGTGCAAACCCACCGGGACCTCAATGTCTGACACGGTCCCTTTTGGTTGTCAAGCAGCCCGCGTTGACGATGGAACGTGTCTGATAATCATATGATCTGTGGCCTTAATCGAAGGTCTTGTACCGCAAGAAACCGTAAGATACTCGCTGTCGGGCGAATTTTCATCTTGGGGTGTTTGTAAGTAGCCCGTGGTTGACCTACTGCTCACATGTACATGATCACTTTCCATTTCGCCGTGGATAGAAAGAGCGCTTGAGATCGCGCAAGTATCCTTGTGGTGTTCCATTCGCTGAGTGAAGCAAGCATTACCATGAGCTTGATTATGGATCGAAGTCCTCTGCGTTATACGAAACCGTTGCGCCGCGCGCTATCGGTTACCGAACTGATAACTTCCGGGGGTCTATAACTTGAGAACTGTTCCCTAAGTCGTCCCTTAAGAGTAGGAATTTCGAACGCTCCTTTGGGAAAAGCTTCCACATAACTTCTCACTTGAAAGCAGTGTTATGAATTTCTAATTTTAAGGTACGCCTTGAGGGAATTATCGTAAGATTCTTACTAAGGATTCCTTCGGCTGCTCACTTAGAAGAATCCTAACAGTCCTTCACCTCTTGAGTTATAAGAAGGTGCTCCTTCCTTGAGGGTCTCACGCTCCTTCCTCGAGGAAGGCGTCCTGACCCAGAGGGCCAGATGCTGTTTTCATTGGACACCTTACATTAGGCAGTCTTCAGATTTAGGACCCTAAGATCTAGATGTTAAACGCTGTAGTAAAGCATGACTGAGTCACTCTGTGGGCACTACTGTGGCCGCGGTGTTGAGTTGACTCCAATCTAGAGCTTAACCAAGACGCAAAAAACGTTTTGTATATGCGTGCAACCGTGTGAGGGCATAGCCAATGGCTCAAGAGCGCAACTAGCATGTATAGTACGAGGATAACCATTCTCAGCTACTGAATGAATATGCGCTGAAAAGATGAGTGGGAATGGTAGGGTCACAGTGATGCACACAGAGTGCACAGCTGAAGAGACATAGAGCTCAACTAATGCTTGACTACAGCATATAATAGCTGCCGGGAATCGTGCAAAATGAGGAGCGTCACGCACCGGAAGTGTCGTCATTTGTAGTCGGCGACGCCAACTTGTGGTGACGCCAACAGCGTTGTGTCACGCCGGAGAGCAAACTAGGATGCTTTCTACGGCACAGTGACAAACGAAATAGATGAAAGGAGGGTAGCCTATGTTCTATGACGGTCATAGTATGACCTATCTGAGGGGGCGGGGTATGCGAAGTTCGTGATGATGCGACGACAATCTCATTACTTACGTACGTATGTGTCTCCATAGTTGTAAGTCCGATACAGCCCCAATCCATCATTGTATAGGGCAACATACTGTACTATAAATTCGAGGGTATACATCACCTTGGATACACTGTCTGGGCTACCCTACATTGCAGTTCCCCATATCTATTAACCATGAGGTTTAAACCGGTGTTCTTCGACAAGTACACTCCAGTCTTCCAACCACACGCCAACGGCAAGGTATAGTCATCGCGAACTATTCATTATATGGAATATCTTTGTCGATGGTTCATGTTCTAATATCCCTTAGGAGCCCGAATATGAGTTTCTTTTCAAGGAAGGTGTATCTGTGATCAAGGGCCCCGATGGACTCGACTTCCTGAAGGTGGGGAGAACCTAGGCAACGGATACGAATAGATTAATCAGCTCAATTATGATAGAAATTAATCCTAGCCAGAGATGAGGATGTTCACTTTCAGGTCGAACCCGAAGCTATTGCCAGACTGACACAGACCTGTATCAAGGATATTGAGCATTATTTCAGAAGCGCCCATCTCGCCCAGATCCAGAAGATCCTCAAGGACCCCGAGGCTTCTGCCAACGATCGCTTCGTTGCTCTCGAGTTGCTGAAGAATGCCTGCATCTCTGCTGGTCTCGTCCTCCCTTCCTGCCAGGATACTGGTACCGCCTGCGTATACGGTTACCGGGGCGATCGTGTTTTCACCGGTGGTGTTGATGAGGAGGCCATCACCAAGGGGGTCTATGATGCTTACACCCAAGACAACCTCCGTTACTCCCAGGTCGCCCCCTTAAGCATGTTCGAGGAGAAGAACACTGGTAATAACCTGCCCGCTCAGATCGAGGTCTACGCTGGTTGTCCCGGCGATGAGCTCGCTTATAACTTTCATGTCATTGCTAAGGGTGGTGGATCCGCCAACAAGTTCCAACTCTTCCAGAAGACCAAGGCCTTCCTCAAGGAGAAGGAGTTTGAGAGTTTCCTCATGAATGAGATTGCTCACTTCGGTACCTCTGCTTGCCCTCCTTATCATATCGCTGTTGTCATTGGCGGTCAGTCTGCCGACCAGACCGTGAAAACTGTGAAGTTGGCATCCACTAAGTACTACGATGGTCTTCCTACCAGCGGCGATTCCACCGGCCGTGCCTTCCGTGACCTCTACTGGGAGGAGAGGCTTCTCAAGAACTGTCAGGAGCTTGGTATCGGTGCTCAGGTCGGCGGGAAGTACTTCGCTCACGACGTTCGTGTCGTCCGCCTTCCACGTCACGGTGGATCTTGTCCTATTGGTATCGGTGTCAGCTGCTCGGCTGATCGTCAGTGCCTCGCTAAGATCACTTCTGAGGGTGTCTTCATTGAGAAGCTTGAGAAGAACCCCGCGAAGTACATGCCTGATTACGTTGGTGATGAGGAGGAGGCTGTGGAGATCGATTTAAACTTGCCGCAGGAGGAGGTTCTCGAAACCTTAAGCAAGTATCCTGTCAAGACTCGGCTGGCTCTCACTGGCACCATCATCGTTGCTCGCGATATGGCCCACGCTAGAATGATGGAGATGCTGGAGAGCGGTAAAGGTCTTCCAGACTACATCAAGAAGTATCCAGTGTACTACGCCGGCCCCGCCAAGAAGCCCGATGGAAAGCCTTCCGGTTCCTTCGGACCCACTACTTCCAACCGTATGGACCCCTATGTTGAGCCTTTCCAAGCCAACGGTGGCTCCATGATCATGATCGGTAAGGGTAACCGTAGCGATATGGTGACTGATGCTTGCAAGAAGAACGGTGGTTTCTATCTCGGCTCCATCGGTGGTGTCGCTGCCATCCTCGCCGATAAGAGCATCAAGAAGGTCGAGTGCCTCGATATGGAGGACCTCGGTATGGAGGCCGTGTGGAGAATCGATGTCGTCGACTTCCCTGCTTTCGTCATTGTTGACGACAAGGGTAACGACTTCTTCAGGATGAGCAACGCTAGCGAACAGAAAATGATTATCTCCCGATGAGTTCATCAGTTCTTCAGGAGAACCCCCCTTCTATCTTGTCCTAGGTTTCACCGTTATTCATATTAGTATCTTAGTAAGAGGTTTCCTTAATGGGATATTGGTCGTGATCCAATGGTCAATAACACGGTGAGTTTCGGCTCGTATGGTGTTGAGAAGCCTGGGAAAGTACCAACTCTAAATTATTGCGCAACGTCATTCCCGGGCTTAGGTTCATAGCAACACGTCATAGTGACAATTCATATGATTTCGATGGATATTATCGGATATCGCTTCCTCTCGAATCAACTTGTTTCGACTGCGCCTCATAGGTGACTCGAATTGCGAAAATCAGTTCTGGAACCAGTTAGCTCGATTTCGCTTGGGGCAGATATGCCATACCTTAGCGCCGCCTATGTTGCAACCATCATGGCAATCCGAGATGCTCACAGAACTTCTCGCCTCCAAAGGGCGGCAACGGTCACACCGCATTGGAATTATAGAATGGCATATACGCCTCAAGCCAGATCGCCCTCACGATTCGTGAGTCACCATTGCTGAAGTTAAATTTATTCCAATCGCGCAGTCGAAATTGATTTCTCCATCGCGTGCTCCCGCGAAACTGATCGTAGTAAGGCATATCTTGGCGCTATGGCATGGGCGCCCCAACCGGTAGAGTTGGTTTGACTGGAAGCCAGAAAGACCCTTGAAAGTGTAGATAGAATAGACCATACTTTGTGCTCTCCACCCGTAAGAGTCCACCCGGTGAATCCCGCCCGCGACCGCGCCATGAGCGGTACGTATTAGAAGGATGAAGTCCCATTGCCATGGGGAGCCGTGAATGGGCCTAGAGATTCAATCTCTACTCATGGCCATTCTGTTTGAACAAATAAGGATTTCTGTTCAGGCGTGCGGCACGCGTGCACACTCATGAGTCTCATGCGGTAACTTGGCGAGCTAAACTTGCCGTTGCCTGCCTCTCCACCTTTCATTCGTAGTGGTCGACGGCGGGACTCTAACCCGTCTTACTGGGGTATGGGAGGCACGTGAGAACTCGATAGGTGAGATTCATGTATCCCGTATTGTACAATCTGTCTAGGAAAACCTGCAAACGGGAATGATCAAACAGTCGTCCGACTACGAAGGTAGATTGTACCGCACGTCCTTTATTAGCAATGGACTACCGTGTAATTGACGAGGTTAGGTCGTCCCAGATGTATTGCCTGAATGTTCTCCACAGTTGCCGTGTGTTGATAACCATGAGCTCTCAACCGTTATTCTTCGATAAGTACACCCCACTCTTTCAGCCACACGCCAACGGCAAGGTATGGCTCTCGTGGACTCTTGGTCGATGTCTCATGCCCTAATATCGCTCAGGAGCCCGAATACGAGCTCCTCTTCAAGGAAGGTGTATCCGTGGTCAAGGGGCCCGATGAACTTGACTTCCTGAAGGTGGGAAGGAGGCTTAGGCGACCGATCGTGATACTAATCAGTTGAATTGCCTTATAACTTGATCTCCCCATGGATGGAGGTTGTTTACGCTTAGGTTGAACCCGAAGCTATTGCCAAGCTCACACAGACCTGTATCAGAGACATCGAGCATTACTTCCGGAGTGCTCATCTCGCGCAGATCCAGAAAATTCTCAAGGACCCTGAAGCTTCTGCCAATGATCGCTTCGTTGCCCTCGAGCTTTTGAAGAATGCATGCGTCTCTGCTGGTCTTGTTCTCCCTTCCTGCCAGGACACCGGTACCGCATGTGTCTACGGCTATAGAGGCGAACGTGTTCTCACTGGTGGTCTTGACGGGCAGGCTATCACCAAGGGCATTTATAACGCTTATAATCAAGACAACCTCCGTTACTCCCAGGTCGCCCCCTTGAGCATGTTCGAGGAGAAAAACACTGGCAATAACCTGCCAGGTCAGATCGAACTTTACGCCGGTCACCCTGGCGATGAGCTCGCTTATAAATTCCATGTTATTGCCAAGGGTGGTGGATCCGCCAACAAGTTCGAGCTCTTCCAGAAGACCAAGGCCTTCCTCAAAGAGAAGGAGTTTGAGAGTTTCCTCATGAAGGAGATCGCTCACTTCGGCACCTCTGCTTGCCCTCCTTATCATATTGCTATTGTCATTGGCGGTCAGTCTGCTGACCAAACTCTGAAGGTTGCTAAGTTGGTATCCACTAAGTACTACGATGGTCTTCCTACCAGCGGTGATTCCACCGGTCGTGCCTTTCGTGATCTCTACTGGGAGGAGAGGCTCCTCAAAAACTGTCAGAAGCTTGGTATCGGTGCTCAGTTCGGCGGTAAGTACTTCGCACACGACGTTCGTGTCGTCCGTCTCCCTCGTCACGGTGCTTCCTGCCCAGTCGGCATGGGCGTCAGCTGCTCGGCTGATCGTCAGTGCCTCGCTAAGATCACCCCTGAAGGTGTCTTCATTGAGAAACTCGAGAAGAATCCCGCCAAGTACATGCCTGATTTCGTTGGTGATGAAGGTGAGGCCGTGAAGATCGATTTGAACTTGCCCCAGAAAGAGGCTCTTGCTACCTTGAGCCAAGTACCCTGTCAAGACTCGGCTGGCCCTCACTGGTACCATCATCGTTGCTCGTGATATCGCTCATGCCAAAATGATGGAGATGCTCGAGAGCGGTAAAGGTCTCCCCGACTACATCAAGAAGTATCCCGTGTACTACGCGGGCCCCGCCAAGAAGCCCGATGGAAAGCCTTCCGGTTCCTTCGGACCCACTACTTCCAACCGTATGGACCCCTATGTTGAGCCTTTCCAATCCAACGGTGGTTCCATGATCATGATCGGTAAGGGTAACCGTAGCGATATGGTGACTGATGCTTGCAAGAAGAACGGTGGTTTCTATCTCGGCTCCATCGGTGGTGTCGCTGCCATCCTCGCCGATAAGAGCATCAAGAAGGTCGAGTGCCTCGATATGGAGGAGCTCGGTATGGAAGCCGTGTGGAAAATCGATGTCGTGGACTTCCCTGCCTTCACCATTGTCGACGATAAGGGTAACGACTTCTTCAAGATGGGAAACGCAAGCGAGCAGAAGATGAATTTCTCGCACTAAACCTTTGGCCCATTCTTTCTGGATCCTGGCTCTCGATTCTCCCGCCGTCGCTGTACTTTGCTTCAACGGATTGTTATCAACCTCATATCGAGTGGTTGTCCATATTCTATAGCATTCATAGGTCCCGATTTACAATGTTGATGGCATACTTCGTTGACAATGGTTCATCATCTAGCTATCATGTTTGAGAGTTTTCTTTTCATTAGTATTTTCGTTACTAGTCGGACGTCAAGAGGGACGATACCATCGACGCACACGTATACCGAATGCATTGCGAGACGAGGGATTTGCTGCTGTCGATTGGCACTGCGATCCTCCATCATTAGAAACCTCCGCATCAATCGTGCTCATTAGAAAACTCGAGAGTGGATTGATGGGCGGAACAGCAAATATCGCAGAATGTACGCTCTATGCACACACGTCTAAGACGTGTACACTTCCGACATCACAGTGAGAACAACGCCGTTCCCTTCTGCACTAAGGAGCTTGGAGACTGTGATTGTCGCAAGTGCCACCAGCGTGAAGGACAGCGTGAATAACACGATAATACTTCAAACCGCAGGGGTAACGGTGCTAGCTCTTAGTAGATTATCGACTTGGTACTCGGGCTGGATCGAGCTACATCGTGGTCTACTTCCTTCTCAGTAGAAGCGATTTTTCCAGTGGGGCAGCTATGCCACCAGCCAGCCGTCCCGAGGATAGATCGAGCCTTGCTACAATCGATTCCGCAGACGCACGAGGTTTCCGATACCAATGGCTATCTTAGGCTACTCGAGGCTGGGTATATGAGTGTAACAGAGATTAGGATCTGCGGGAACGGTTCTAGTCGGTAGAAAGGTCAACTACAGGTTTCTCTCTCTCGGAGAGAAAGCAGTATTGATGGCTTGTTCATACGCAAGTGAACATCTAAGGCGTAGAATTGAATGTACTCCGACGACCTGTCCTCTATGTCGAGCTTGATAGATCTCACCGTATTGTCGTCCTCTCCCGATAACGATGGAGGGGTTAAAGACTAAGAACAGAGAACCCAAGTCTCAACCAGTAGCGAGACGGAAAGTGTTTAGGAATGGTCATAAATAACTTCTAGGCCGTAGGGATGAATTCGGTGGTTGGGATCGGAGGCAAACAGCGTCGGTCGCCGCATCCAAGGCACGGTGGCCAGGTATCTCTCGGAACGATCTCGTACTGGAGGTATATCTAACAGAACTATGAGGAACTCCTGAGAGGAGCGACGAACTATCACCGGTAGGCTTTCGATACGTAGCTTTCCTTGAGGAAAGCAGGAGAACTAGACACTGAATGCAATCGCTTGAAGGCTTGGCTGTCCGGGTCAAAGCCGTAGAGTGCTCTAAAAACCAGAGGAGATCATCGACAGGGCCGCATCGTCAGAAGAATTGTCAGGTTTGATCTCGAAAAGAGGGGGAACGAGTAAGGGAGGTCAAGCCTGCCGACCGGGAATACCAACGGAACCTCACCTATAAACCTGGCGACCGCTGATTTCGCCTTTAAATAATATGACAAGTTTCTTGAACTCGTCGGTGACCGCGCCCAATACTGCTTCCCTGTTCTTCTTGTTCACAGTACCACCAAGCAAAGCCTTGAGATGAAACAACAATGGAGAGTTAGTGAATAGGCCGGTCTCTCACCCAAGTGATGGCATTAATAACTATCTTTCTGTTATCCCCCAAATTTGTGGTTCGCAAATTCGTACCAGTTTCGCGAATCGAAGAAGTGCGTCTCTCAAACGACGCCGAGGAGGACGAACGTCTAAGGTTCGTGGATAGAATGACATCGTTATGGGATTACTTGGAGCCTCGAGATAGCCAGGTTGATTGCCCTTCCGATGACGTCAGCGTTCTCGAGTTCCGCATTGGGGATAATCGTGAAGGGGACGGGACGGTCTGAGAGTTAGATTGAAGTCCGGCTGACGATAGTTCCCAGTCCATTCGAGATTGAGCATTCATCAACCCTCGAGAAGAGTCCTTGCTATACTCACCGCTGAGCTTGGCCTGATACGCATCGGAGAGCCCCGCTGCTCAGCTTCTTGTCGTTTCCGCGCCAGGAGGTTCTCCCGGATTCGCTTCGATGTAGGACTGTCGAAGTTGTTGATCTCTGGGTCCAGCTCGACGAGCACTCCTCCTCTTGTTCGATATCCCACATAATCATCAGCCACTTCCTCCCGACCCGAAGTGTCTTCTTCCGTGACGACCCCCAGTAAGTTCGTAACAGCATCCGGATCACACGGCGCAGCTATAGAACTATCGCTCCCATTCATTCCCTCTGACGCTCTTTGCAATTCCTCGAGAACCAGTCCACGGAGTCTTCGACTCTCTTCCATTCGCAACTTCAGCTCCGTCCTCTCCCGCCACATTTCGGCAGCAATGAAATCTCGTATATCGGAAGCCTGGCGACGTTTCCTGATGACTTCTGTACAGAGTTCGTAGGGACTGTAAGGAGGGAGGTCATTATCGACAGTAACCCCCGCCAACATGCGATGAGCTTACTTGATCTCACTTGAGGCTCGATCAGCTGATGCTTCTCGCGTTGAAATCTCCGGTAGCTCTACTCCGCGGAGAGCAGGGGAGTTGCCCCGCGGGTCAAAGGAATCTGAGGAGATCTGACCACTGCCGGGACTAATGGAGTTCACCCCTTATATGCCAGCCAGTGACTGACTGAGCTATGGTGCCATATCTATCGTCTACTGCTTCCTTCCCGCCTTCTCGTGGTACTCCCGGCCGTTGCTGCCTAGGGAGGTCTCTAGCATCCCCGTTTTGATATGCTTCATCCATCACAGATTCGCCAAGATCTCTCGACCCTTCCGAATATCCATTGTTATGACCAGCGGTACCCCATCGATCAACAGACGTCTCAACAGGCCCAGATCCATCCTTGCTATCATCCCAAGTAGGGGCCCGATCCCCTTCCCCCTGAGCGTCCCGTGCTGTGCGACCCGAGCTTGAGACACCATCACTATACTGTTCCTCCTCTTCATCCGCCCCGGGTTCGTGATAACTGTATTTCGAGAGATGCTCGCTTTCCGTCCCGTTTCTGTTGCTGATATATTCCGCATCAACAGTCTCATACAGCTCGACAGAGACTTCACTCTCTCGCTCTTCCTCTCCCTCGGATCGTGGGTACCGTAACAGCTGCCCGTACTCATCGTGCTCGACCGGGGAGTACGCGCGCCGATAGCTGAGCCGATCATATAACTCATCAGCATCAGTAACCTGGCTATTGAGATATCTCCCGAAAGACGTGGTCCCTTCGACCCCACTCGTTCTACCGACACCGTGGTTGTGTCGAACGTATCCACTATCAGATCTTTCCTCCGTGTAAGCATCGTAAGTGCCTCGGACACCGCGAAACTGCAAGTTCGATCTCTGGTCAAAGATAGAGGAATCTCCCTCACGAAGTAGTAGGGTGCCATGACTGCTCCTATGATAGCTCTCTGCTCGGGCCTTGGTGAAATCCTGCCCCCCTGATGGCCACTCGGGCTCTGTAGGTCGCTGCTCGTCGTAACCGCCCCGATTGAGCTGGTACTTCACCTCATACTCAGACTCCTCTTCCTCACCGCTACCGTTCCAGGCGGTCACGTCGCTATCGGAGCCCCCGGCGGAAGAGACACCATTTTCATGGCTATGTAGACCGTCCTCCTTCCCATAGCTCTCACTGTCATCCTCTTCTTCTCCCGTTATGACTTCATCGTAGTACATAGGTCGGGATGCAGATCTCTCTCGTTCTTTGGCATAGTAGTAAGTGCTCGAGCCCTCACTTTCATCGCCACAGTCGTCGTACTCCTTCGCCGCTCCGTCATAGGATTGTGAGTCATTCCCGTGCGGATTCGAATAACCACAACGGAGGCATTGGTCATTCCTAAGAAAGCTTATGGGTGTTTCTCGCACCTGCTCTGTCGGCCGCTGCTCGAGTGGTCGGCAACTACGATGCTCAATAGTAATGGTTTCGATTGAGTTCTCAGTGCTAGGGTGCCGTTCAAAACTATACCAACTTTCCCCCAACCTCCTCCGCTGAAATGCCCCCTCAGCTTCCTCTGATGACAGCTCCTCAGATTGACGAGAGTCGTCCTGACCATCGGCCTCTCCGATGGGCTGAATACTGCGTCCATTGCGATAAGACAGCGGATCACCGGATCCTGGATCGATACGGGTGGCCTCCGAGAGGGGGGTAGCACGGGTATCTTCTGCTTCCACTGGCAGACTTGATGACCGCGGAGGCGACCTTCTATCGATGGACCACTGGCCACTAGCAAATTCATCAGCACTAGGTACTACAACGAACATTCATGATTAACAAGGAATTCAGTGATAGAGATTACCGGAGGGAAGTATACTGGTTGATACGTGCGGCTCCGCCCGGGCCCATCCGTCACTCAACCTGATACGGATGATATTGAGTTAAACTGGTTTATCACGTCTTTGTGCGGGAGTAAGACCAGCTCTTATATGGCCCCTTACCTGCTCCCTCGCCACGAATCGCTTCTTCTTGCTGAAGACTGATGCGATACAGAGGCTCCTAAAACACCCAAGAGAGCCTTTATTCGATGGAGGATAGAGATGCCTACTTGATCTGTTATCAGAGTAACGATTGCTTGCGATCTCATCCAAAGCCCGCCTCTGCTCTCTTATCTGTCTCAACCGCTCCGAAAGGGATTTCATACGATCAGCATTAGTGGACGCCATTCTCCATTCGAATTTCTACGACTCTAAAGCCTCGGCGGACACGGTATTGATATCAACTGAATGCTGAGAGCATCTTTCTCGATTATGTCAACGTATTGAAGAACACTTCGAGTCAGCCCCCTAAGAGCCATCCTAGGCAGATCTTTTCGTGTCACGGTTCAAGACTGAGGGCACCCACAACCTCCTAGACTATTACTAATTAACGGAACAAGATCATCAGAATAAATTGATCATGATTACATCCCAGTGACAATGAACAGCAAAGCATGGCATGTCATAAGACGATTGATTACTGTCTGACACCCACAGGGACCACGTCCCATGGTTTCGCCCCTCTGTGGACTGCCGAGCAAATGTCTCGAGCAGCCGAAGAATTGCACGGTATACTATTCGACCCTCGAGGTGTGAGCATTGGCTGAGGTACCTGATGGACTCGATGGTTATCAAATAGACTTCAGAGATATGCCGACTGGAAAACGACTTCCTCGTGAGATCGGGGGAGGACCTCGAGGAGCACAAGGAGCTAGTAAAGGTTGCTGCAGACCGATGGAAGACCTCGCACTCGAGATACCTGTGCTATAGCGTAGACCACGTCCTACCAAATGGAAAGAATCAGGGCGAGTCAGCATAGTCGCGACAGGACTCACCATCGAGCCGAGGGGTACCGGTTATGAGACACGGCGGTGAGTGGGCTGGAATGACGGGGCTATTGTTGAACAATGCCGAGTGCTCTGACATCACCCGACGCATCGTGCACCGTAGATTCATTGCGGATCGTTCAATGTTCCTAGCTGAACATTCATGTATAGCGGAAAGTTGCAGCTTACTGGATGTCCTCCTCCATGCCTCGCAGCCTCTTTCGGGCAGTGTCAGCTGCTGTGACCACGCTGGTGGCGGAGTTGAACTTTGTGAAAGGGGTAGCGCGCGGCTGGACAATTGGCGTGTGATTCACAATGTACGGATATCCTTGACCTGAAATGAACCGGGTGGTACGAACGGAGATCATCCAGAGTCTGCACGAGGAGAGGGCCTTAGGCCCCAGGGGTGAGAGAAGTAGCAGAGTCGCAGGAAGAGAGAGTTGGAGACGGAGCAACAGTACCCGTGTGTTCGACAGGAAATGATGATGCCTTCACAGTGTGACTAGAACCATCCCGCAACAAAAAGGTCTTGGATGATTCAGAGGTGTCCGCCCCAACGGACTGAGAGATAACACTGTCAGACAACTTCGCTACCACATCGGATAACCAAAGCAAATCCGCGAGCGTCTTACTTCAGTTACGCAACCGGAATCGGGAAGAGACTCGTCCGAGACGTTGCTTTCGAGAGAAGACTCCTGATCTGACTGCTCCTGAGTAGCCAGCAGCCGCGAAAGTAGTGCTCCACTATGCCCTCGTGTCTGAACGTACGATGGAAATGTCTAAGCTTCCCGCAACGATGAGCTGACCCACCACTGTCGGGCTGCTTTGCGAGATAGAACTGACCTCCTTCCCAGTATCAACAGTAAGACAATGATCGATGAGTCTGTTCAACGACGAATAATGAGACCAGTGAGACGAGTATTCGGTACTTAGTCTCGACTTCCAGTAATTCGGCTTTTATTTCATCGATCCACGTCTCCATTTTCGACACCAGCTCTGGAGTTTCCAACAGGCTCGTACTACCTTGTCTGTCCGTCGTGGTCCCTCTAGCCCGCCTCTCGACTGCTGAGGCTGATATGCGATGTTTACTGACGCCTGGAACTGAAGTGGATGCGAAGGTTTCCTATATATCTTTTACCTCGTGCCAGTGTCTCGGTCTCTAGCCTACCCTGAACAGGTACTTTAACAGGCACCATCCCTAGACCTACAGACTGAGTAACATTGAGGAGAGTGTAGTGGGCTCACTGTTCCTTCTATCCCGCGCTAGTCTAGCCCGATTCACGGCAGTCTCGAAACCCTTCTTCATGCGAGGGCTGAATTCGGAGAGGCCTTGCGACCCTAGTGATCCAGTCGAACTTCGCCTGTAATTAACGTAACACCACATGTCAGCGCGCCTTACGATACCTCTTTCCACTAGAGAAGAACTTCGGGTTCGGTGGAGCGAACATTGAATACAACAGCTAACCATCCTGCAATGGGCCATAGAGGTCATCAGCGTCAATCTCCCTCCCGACTATAAATCGAGTGCGGCATACGCGCGTGTATTCAATGAAACTCAGTTCAAGGTGGCATATCTGCCCCGGGCAGATTCTGCTTCGCTAACAGCGAATTTGACGACCACAATTCGTCGAAATTGAAGTTATTTGGGAAGTTAGTTACCCACGTATCTAGCGAGTCGAATCCATCGAGAGTTTAATGGTATGGCATATCTGCCCCTCGAGCGGATTCGGCTTCAGTAACAGCGAAGCTGATGACCATAATTCGTCAGCATCAAACTTCAAGGAAAAGTTAGTTACCCGCGTATCTAAGGAGTCGATTGCCTCGAGAGTTTCATGGTATGGCATATCTGCCCCTCGAGCAGATTTGGCTTCACTAACAGCAACGTTGGTGCCGATAGTTCGTCAGAATTCAACTTACTTGAGAAGTTTGTTACCCGCGTATCTGAGGACTCGATTGCATCAAGAGCTCCATGGTATGGCATATCCGCCCCCCCCCCCGCCCCCCCTCGAGCAGATTTGGCTTCACAAACAGCAAAATCAGTGCCCATAGTTCGTCAAAATTTCAAGTTACTTGGGAAGTTAGTTACCCATACATTTACCGAGGTAAATGGACTAAAGAGTTCCATGCGGTGGCATATCTGCCCCAGCGAAGAACTTGACTGTTATGAGCAATATATGCCTTTAAAAGGTGTAGCTGTAAAAAATACTCTCAAAGAATTATCAGCTCGCCCCTTCCAGCCAAACGAGTTCACGATAAACACGTCGAATATTAGGCGGAAGGGGTCGCTCGACCCAGAAAAAAAGAGTAGTTGATCGGTTTCTCATTACCCTACCGTAATCCATTATGCTCTCGGCACGGGACCCTCCACGCACGAGTCCACTGATATTGAGGAAGCGCGAGACTGCAAGATTTAGCGAAGCTATATGAGTTGCAGCTTGTTTTTCTGGGTGCAGTAGTGGCATGTGTGATCTGGGAAGGAATGGGATAGATGAACGAGTATCATTTCGCAATTGGAAGAAGGGCAGTCGGGTAGCTTGTCACAACAGTTATCTCGTTCCTATTCTCTATGAGTCCCGAGTCGAAGTTTTTCGACAAGTACGCCCCCCTCTTCCAGACACACGCCAACGGCGAGGTAGAGTTTCGTTTTTTCGAGCACATCTTTTGTGAAATATCGTATTTAGTGATGGAATGGTCTTCTCTGATATGTGGTTATGTGACTGTTGTTGCTATGTCAGGAGCCTGAGTATGAACTCCTTTCGAAGGAGGGTGTCTCCGTGGTTAAGGGACCTGATGGACTCGACTTCCTTAAGGTACGGAAATCTTCGACTGTTTCATTGAGCTGGATTAGCGGTATACCTTTGATACTTGGAGTTAGCTTATCTTTATCATTCCACTTTTCAGGTTGACCCTGAGGCTATTGCCAAGCTCACCCAGACCTGTATCAAGGATGTTGAGCATTACTTCAGAAGCGCCCACCTCGCGCAGGTCCAGAAGATCCTCAAGGACCCCGAGGCTTCTGCCAACGATCGGTTCGTTGCTCTCGAGTTGCTGAAGAATGCCTGCATCTCTGCTGGTCTCGTCCTCCCCTCCTGCCAGGATACTGGTACCGCCTGCGTATACGGTTACCGGGGTGAGCGTGTTCTAACCGGTGGTGTTGATGAGGAGGCCATCACCAAGGGTGTCTATAATGCTTACACCCAAGACAACCTCCGTTACTCCCAGGTCGCCCCCTTAAGCATGTTCGAGGAGAAGAACACTGGTTGCAACTTGCCCGCTCAGATCGAACTCTACGCCGGTCATCCTGGTGATGAGCTCGCCTATAAATTCCATGTCATTGCTAAGGGTGGTGGATCCGCCAACAAGTTCCAACTCTTCCAGAAGACCAAGGCCTTCCTTAAGGAGAAGGAGTTTGAGAGTTTCCTCATGAAGGAGATTGCTCACTTCGGTACCTCTGCTTGCCCTCCTTATCATATCGCTGTTGTCATTGGCGGTCAGTCTGCCGACCAGACCATGAAAACTGTGAAGTTGGCATCCACTAAGTACTACGATGGCCTTCCTACCAGCGGCGATTCCACCGGCCGTGCCTTCCGTGACCTCTACTGGGAGGAGAGGCTTCTCAAGAACTGTCAGGAGCTTGGTATCGGTGCTCAATTCGGCGGTAAGTATTTCGCCCACGATGTTCGTGTTGTCCGTCTCCCTCGTCACGGTGCTTCTTGCCCTGTTGGCCTCGGTGTCAGCTGCTCGGCTGATCGTCAGTGCCTCGCTAAGATCACCCCTGAAGGTGTCTTTATCGAGAAGCTCGAGAAGAACCCCGCCAAGTACATGCCTGATTTCGTTGGTGAAGGGGATGAGGCCGTGAAGATCGATTTGAACTTGCCCCAGAAGGAGGCTCTCGCTACCTTGAGCAAGTACCCTGTCAAGACTCGCGTGGCCCTCACTGGTACCATCATCGTTGCTCGTGATATCGCTCATGCCAAAATGATGGAGATGCTCGAGAGCGGTAAAGGTCTTCCCGACTACATCAAGAAGTATCCCGTGTACTACGCCGGCCCCGCCAAGAAGCCCGATGGAAAGCCTTCCGGTTCCTTCGGACCCACTACTTCCAACCGTATGGACCCCTATGTTGAGCCTTTCCAAGCCAACGGTGGCTCCATGATCATGATCGGTAAGGGTAACCGTAGCGATATGGTGACTGATGCTTGCAAGAAGAACGGTGGTTTCTATCTCGGCTCCATCGGTGGTGTCGCTGCCATCCTCGCTGATAAGAGCATCAAGAAGGTCGAGTGCCTCGATATGGAGGACCTCGGTATGGAGGCTGTGTGGAAGATCGATGTCGTCGACTTCCCTGCTTTCATCATTGTTGATGATAAGGGCAACGACTTCTTCAAGATGGGCAACGCTAGCGAACAGAAGATGGCTTTCTCCCACTAGGTCGTTTGCATGCAGTTAAGCGCGTCAGTTTGACTATTAGCGAATAGATGGTATTTCCCTGACAGATTTCGCGCGTGCTCTTCATTGCGAAGATCGATGTGATCTATTTAGCCGTCCATCATTCATAATTGTCGGTAAGGCACTTTCCTGTTCATAAGATTGATACTGAAAAGTATCGCGTTTCGATGGTTCATGTCGGGTTGTTCATCGAGTGGGAGGTGGATGTTCTTCGGAGTGCTTGGGTCGTATGCTGATCCTGAACCGAGTCGTGAGCCAGAGTATTTGCTGAGTGGAAAAATCTAGGGATGAGTATTCACCCCTAATGATTCACGGTTTGAATAAGGCATTCTTCACGAGATGAAGGCTGATTGAATTCAGGAATAAGGGTCGATGCTTGCTCATGAACAGGCTATTGGAATTAGTACTCTCGATCAGGGTGCACTTTGAATAGGAAGTTATGAAGTTCATACTATGTCTCCGTCAGGGAGAGCTCGCTTAGTGTTCATCTACTGCTAATGGAGTGGGAAGATAATGATCCCATTAGTATAAGTCTGATTAGCCCGAGCATGTAGAGGGCCTGAAGCGATTCAGACTGTATCCAACAGTTGAACTTCAAATTCATTGAATTTAACAGGTGTCTGGCAGAGCTTGAGAGGTCCGCCATGACTGGAGTGTCGCAAGCTTCCGGAAACTTCGAGACACTTCAATGGAGTTCATCGATGTGCGCCCAGCATGGAAACTTGATTCGGGCAGCAGGATAATATCTGCTAGCGGTTCAGAGGATTCTGGAACGCGTGGCTACTAGCTAGCTAGATTCTGGAACGCTAGCGCGTGACATCGACCAACAACGCGACAAAATTCTCAAAGGAATGGAAAGTAGAAACAACAGCGGACACCGAGTCTATCATCCAATCCCAGAATGAGGAACTCTCCTCTAAGGAGACCACTGCTCAGCATCCGTCCAATCTTTCCCGACATAAGCCTTCACCCAGGTGGGCTTCGACGTTTCCATGTCCTTGCGATCAACGAGGAGGGCATTAAGGGACTTGTCAATCTCGTCACCCATATGTTCCTGAATCCTCTGGCCAATCACAACCAACTTGTTAACTTTGCTGGCCATCTCGGACGGACAATCCGTTTCGACCAATTGAAAGGACTTCTCAACACCTTGCAGTAGATACCTCTTTCCATCGCCAGCAATCAGCATGCCCTTGACCCGAAACACCCTGTTGTTCTCGACAAAATCTTGCAGCCATGCACGGAACTTTTCAATATCTATCGCTACTCCTTTTGAGGCTGGATATGGTCCGCTCAGAGCACAGCTACAAACACCATCACGCCAGGGCTTATGCTGAGGCACATCATTGAGATCGCCGGGACTCGTATAAGTATCGCCTTGAGATCGCAGGACTTCTTCCATAGAGATGTCAGAGTGGACCGTGCGTACTAACCGGCACACTGGATTGATAGACCGGATCGTATCCTCTATCTGTGCGGCAGTCTGGTCGTCAACCAAATCACATTTGTTAATGATCACAAGGTCCGCGAACACCAGTTGTTGGACGAGCTCGGAGCTCCGAGGGTCTGTCACTCGCTTGTACTGCTCAATGAAGTTAGAAGCATCGACAAGCGTAACAACTTTACGGAGAACAATGCCCTCAGGAGGCTGTGCCACGAGGCCTTGAACAACTGGTCCAGGAGTAGCCAAACCGGTCGTTTCCAGGATGATCTGAACAAACAGCAGTGACCGAAGCGATCAAGTGGGGGAACGATCCCAATATTCACCATGACTTCATATACGTGAACTAACCACGACGAGAGGACCCAATGACCCCCTTACTCCGTTGACAGGATCATCACTAGGCGCTGCTAGAGCCTTCTTCCCTAGACCTTCTAGCTTCGCCATCAAGTCGTTCCGCAGATTACAGCAGAGGCAACCACCGCCGAGCTCGTATACGGTAGAACAGTCCCCACTGCTGCCACTCGCATAATTGTCGGGTAGTTCACTGAAAAGAGCAAAGCTCGTTCGGCTCAGTCCTCTCACATGTACCGGGGGAGACCCACTGTACGTTACCTCACACTGATGCCACCGATCTCATTATTCAACACGAAGAATCGACCCTTGCTTTCTCGGAGCATCCGAGACACTAACGTGGTCTTGCCTGAGCCGAGAAACCCCGTAAGGATCCACAACGGCGTCGTCGATTGGGCGCTTTTATCAGTCATAGATGGTTTAACAAATTCTGCCACAAAACTATACATCGAAGCGGTAACGCATGTGTACAAAAACCACTCAGCGAACCTCACACATTCCTCCCACTCGCAACACAAAGCCATGTGGGTATAACGCCAGGATTGCATTCACAATCACAGATCATGCTCAGCTAACACGATCCCTCAATAGTGAGTTCATGAGCAACGTTCTCTGCTCCGATAACCACTTATTGAACGTTTTGGAAGTCTCTTGGAATTGCTTCATAATTTCTTTGTCCGCCTTGACTATTCGACTGTGCAAAATGTCCACCTGAAAAAGCTGTTAGTGAAGCGTGTAGAGGACAACGACGACCCAATGGGGGACAGTTCTTGTGTCGAATGATAGACACTCCGACACACATTTCGTGGCGACTTTTGCTTCGATAGCATTGTATATGAGTGTACAACGTCTGCTGAGCGAAACCTCTGAGAAAACCTACCCTATTTGGACCCTGTTCTTGTATCCGTTTTTCATCCTTCTCGCGAGCATCAAGGACACCCTTAATATCATCTCGTTCAGCCCTCATCCTACAAAAGAGGCAGACTCGAAGATTCAACTTCCACCCAGTCTAACCGTTTCATTGTTTCGCCAACTTCATCCACCATAGTATCGTTGGTCGTACTCAGTTCGGCCTTGTACGCTGCTGTCATCTGAACAAATACGGCTTTGATCCTCAACTGGAGAGGCGCCGCCAGCCTACGTTGCTTCCCACTCGAGCAATCTCTTTCTCGATGTCAGAGAGCTCCTCCGAGATCTCCTCTTGCTGCCGAGGATCTCTAGCCATACGAGCTACCTCCTCTATTTTCTCCTTAGCAAACTTAACAGCGTCGTCAACGTTCATGCTGTTATTGATGTTCGAGGATGCGGACCGAACTCGACTTTCGAACGTACTGCCGAAAACACCAAACTGCATTAGAGATCGCCCTCCCCGACCTACGCCAACGACGAAGCTATCTGCCTCTCCAACTCGCGAGTCTGGGCCTCCTCACGAGCCATACTCAATTGATATCCGACTATTTGTCTCCGCTGGTCCTCGAGCTCATGGCCCCTCTTGGTGAGCACGTCCACAGCATAGGTCTGAGCGTCTGCCAGACGCTTACCCAACTCACCCGCTTCCTCCTCAATGGACTGAATAGCAACGATAATTCTCATATACTTCCTCATCCAACCACGGCCTACTGCATTAGCAATCTCATGATGGATTCGTCGCTGGTCCTCTTCCAGACTCCTCCTCGTCTCCTCCTTCATTGCTCCAATATCGAGCTCCAACTTCGATGCTTCTTCAGTAGCGTTGGCCACTCGCGACCTCATCTGCAACAGTCCACATCAATTTCCCCAGCCGCTCAGCCAGGTGCGGTACGATATCCCATTACTTCCTTCGACATTCGAGCTGCCTCCTCATCTTCACCACTACTCAGCAGCTCCATATTGTTCGTTAACATTCTCAACGTCTTCTGCATCCGCTCCAACGTCTCTCCCAGCTGTGCAGACCCTGCAGCTCGAATCGAAAGGCCAGCACTATACGCCCATAGACCCACCAGCATGATCCTTGGCATCGATAGTGTCCAGCCCCTGGAGCTCCTTTTCCTCCGCCCCAAGGACCCCAACTTTCAGCCCTCTGATTTTCCCAACCTCCGACTCCTTCCTATGCTGCATTTCAGCTCTCGTCGAGGACTCCATCTGAAAGGAGTTCACCAAGTCTATGCTGCCGCTTTCGAGCCTCACCGTTTGAAGGGCCTTCTCGAGAGACACTAATAGTCCTCCGGCGAACTCCTTCAACTCTCCCACCTGTGGACCCTTAACCTGACAAGACTTCCTTGCACACCATGCGAGAATCTGTCAACATGAATTCCGAGAGCGTGAAACTCAACGATTATTCCACTTCTTCTTGCGCAGCCCCCCTTCGACAAGGCGAGTAATAGCCAGTATAGAGGTATAGCTGCAGGCTCAGTCACTGCTGCCTGAGCCCTGGTATGAACCGATAGGCAGTGTGATTATGATTATTCCACTAAGAACAGCGCTATTTCTCAGAGAAGGATTTCCTCGGACCACCCGTAATACCTGTTGGATCTCTCCCTCTATAGTCTGCTGAAAGCTCAGTAAGTTCTTCTCTTGCTCCATCTCGCTACTACCCAACATGTTTGCTACTTCCATCGGAGCGCTCTCTTTGAAGGTCTAACAATCGTGATTCCTCTACTAACGAGCAGTCCCTGCTTACCCCAGCGACGAGGAGCTTCAACCGGTTCATATCCTCAGCGGCCTCCGGCATCTTCAGGAGCTTCCCCAGGGAGTCCACCGTCTTGCTAGCTGTGTCCTCTGCATCCTCCATCTCACTCGTTGCTGCTGTAAGCCGATTCACTTCCCCTCTGTTCGCTTGCTCGTCCGATCGAACCTGCACAAAGGAGTTTCACCCGTGATACGACTAAAAACACTAGTGACAAACATATTCCATATTTCACCTGGTGAAAAACAATAGAGTAATCGGTTGCGGAAACCGAAAGTCACGAAGAATTTACATGAAATATTACACCACTTCCTCGATGTATAATACAAATGTAGATGAGGTCAGGGATCAAAAAGTGTCGGTCATGTTCAAGGCTCATATTAACGGAGTTTCAATATGATCTGATGTTTATAAGCAAAGGCTTGACTTCGACGAAAAACGGATGCAACTCCGCTGGATGTGACATACTCCCATTCACTCACCCATTCGTCCAGTCCCCTCGTTGAGTTCAGGAGCATCCTTTCCATGTTGCCTTCAATAGCAACAGCCAACGCCCGAGGGTCCAAACCGAGATCAGCCGATACAGCCTTCGCCAAGTTACGATCTATCCTCCCTTTAACAACGGCCCATCGTGCCTGCATCATCATTGTATCAACCAGTGTGGGGAAATGTGCACATGGCCAACTACATGTCGTAAAAACGAAAAAAAATTCTGAGGAAATTTTAGGAATTTTTTCATTTCTGAACACTTCTACCGCGAGTCGCACGAAGACTTGTATGATTAGTGAGGAAACTCCTCAATGCGGCAGGGGATGATTTTCCCCCTATTGTTGACTTACCGTTAGATTGGCTGATTCTTGTGCCAACAGTTGACGTCTCGACTTCAATTCTTCAGCCGCTTGCGCGAATTCACCAGCGATCATCCCAAGAATGCCCTGAGCAGCTCAGGTCCACCGTAACGACGCTTTCAGTTGAACTCACTATTGCATGGCCGGAGACACTCTTGAGCGACTCAGTAGACCTGGCCACCTCTTCTTCGACGATGTGGTCACTCTCAGATTTCATTTTCGAGATGTCATCGCCAAGATTCGAACCTGCGCCCTCCGCCGCACTCTTCATCGCCATCTGAAACGAGGTGCAACTATCAACGAGAGAAGAAACAAAATGCAGTTTCCTCCAGTGATTACCCTCACTTTCCCAATTGCCGTATCGAAGCCATCGCGCAACGTATCGAGCGCCTTGCCCGCTGCCCCACTAGAGTTACCAATCTCCTCTCTCATCTTGCGCTTGCTACTCTCCATCTCAAGTAGCCCCTTCCGAGCCGCCTTCAACCCTGCCAGCGGCATAGTCGCCAACACGAATGCATCTACTCCTACTTTTCATAACCGTTGCCAGCTTATCGCCATCAGTCGAGATAGCTCGATGAGCTTCTTCATCGCTCCTATGGTACTGGCCTTCAAGGGACGACATTCTGAAAAAAAACTCTTCCATGGCTCTACCACGATATACGATGGTCCTCACAGCGATGTCATGTTATTCGCAATCTCTGCAAGCTCAGCAGCCAGCTCTCGTTGAGCAGCATCGTCAAACTCCGCGACTTTGGCCATCATTGTGGCTTCGTTGGCGTTGACCAAAGCAGCAGACCGGCGAGCCTCCTCTCTGAATCTAGTCTCATCCTCTCCAACAGTCTGAACGAAAATCAGAGATGCCCTGAGATTACATACCGAGAATTTCCCCCTACCTTTTCCTCAGTGTGAATACTGTCCAGCGCTGCTGATGCCGCTTTAGTAGCTTCTTCCCTCGTCACGTCCATGGCACCACTCCCGGTAGCCTGCACAGCGCTGGCCAAGCGCTCATTAGCCTCAGTCGCCTCTCGGGTGGCACTGAGACCATGAACTCCCAAACTCAAAGGATAAGCTCAACTCCTTACTTCTCCACCGATGCGATTTTCACGTCCTTTTCCCTCCTTGATTTCTCAAGGCCGTCCGCGAACAGCTTTGCAGTGGCAGCCATACGCTCCTCCTCAGCTGCGCTTTTCGCCGATACCTGTTTAGTCCCCTCAGAGAAGCCTCCTACAGCCTGAAAGAGCAACCAATCAATAGATCGGGGATGCCTTATGGCCTACGTTAGCTGAGGCAGCATTCGCATCTCGGTTGAATGCTGTGAGTGTAGCATTCATACTGGTCTTGTATGCGGCAGCTTCACTGGCTTCATTTCGAGCCATCCACTCCATTTCCTGGGGAAACGTAATATTTTTAATAACGTATACTGCATTTTCCTATCTATCGTAATCCCTCTATCTACACTCAATGAATAGAGCTACCATAATAGCAAAGGAGAGGCATTTTGCTGTTATTGCGAAATGCCTCTCAGTCGCCAAGTACATGCGATGCAAAAAATACAAAGGCTATGCAGCAACATGAACTGTTGATCTAGATGACTCTAGGAGGGAGAAAAACGCGATAATAGGTGATCGATTGACTCACCTTCTCAGCTTTCTTAGCCGCCTTGACACCATCCAGGAGAGTGTTGCGGACCATCTCCTGTTGCCTTACCATACCACGCGCGAAACCCTGAGCGATCAGCATAGACACGGGACCCTCTCAGTCGGTTCGCTCACCGAAAGGGCTTTTTTAGCATCGTTTTTCGCCTCCCGCGATTTGCCTCTCATCGCCAACTCCGACGCCAGTAGAGCCGATGCGGCCTTCCGCGACGCAGCCCGCGCCTCCGCGTCGATCTGCTGCTTCTTTATGCTCGTATCCCTCTCGAGACCCGCCATGAGCCGTTGAGTCTATTAACCGAATAACAGGAGCTCAGCAGCCGAGACGGTCAACAGTAACTCACGCTAGCTCCAATGGTCACGTTGGTCGAACCAACGTCTACTGGCGGCTCTTTACCAATCTCCTTCATATCTTGATCGAGCTGGGATTGGATCTCCTGTACCAAGCCGTCCTTATGCGCCATAGCTGAGATGGGAAGCAAAATACAAGAACACAGAGTGAAGCTGATCAGCATTGATACTTTCCACGGCTTTTTTCAATGACTTGGCTCTTTCCAATGTACGATTAGTCCTTTCAGCGACGTCCGATGCAATAGATGCAACGAGACCTTTGACCACCGACACTGTACTCCACAGCTTCACCAGTGGGCTTCCAGTTGACTCAGTGCTGAGGGGAATATCCTCATGCCTACTCTACCTCCCGACTTGAGCTCACATCTGCTCTGCTCTGCCGTCTACGTCCTTATAGTGCTGCAGAGCCTTACTGCCAAGCCGTTTAGCCATCGCGGTGAAGTTACTCTCATATTCAGTGCCAGCCTAGAAAACAGGGCGCCAATTCCGGCAGCAGAATTGAGATATTATTCGTGACCGATCGAGATACGGACGAGTCAGTCGAGAAGGATGAAGCTAAGGAGACTCACATTAGCAATTTTAGACCGCGCAGCATCGAACATCGCCGACATCTCGCGGTAGACCTCCTCAGCAACCGCGCGGATCGCCACTGATGAGGGGCCTCGGGATTCACTCTGAAAATGGAATGTAACTGTGTTGACGCTGACCATAGTGCAGAACTTTCACGATTCCAAATACAGTGGTGATGTTTTGTAATGACCATAGTTTACGAAAGAGCGATTCACGCTTCACAGGGTAGAAAATTTGTAGACATACACTAACCTTACCAAGTTGACTCTCAGCTTCTTCACATCTTCCACAGCTCGAGGAATTGTGAACTCAAGCGATCCCACTCTGATCAGAGATACATAACGGAAAAGCCTAGCCGAGATTAGATAGATGAACGCTCGCTCAAGGTCGCAAATGAATAGTAGTGGGATAGGGGCCAGCGAACCAACTCACATGTCGTTGCTTCCAATAGCATGTTCAGCATCTCCTAGTCCTGCGAGGAATCCCAAAGCTCGCATCTTATGTGCTGCTGCTGTGATATTGTCAATGGACTGCAGCTGTACTGGTAGGGAAGACTGCAATCCTGAGAGCAATGTTTACAGTATATGCACGATACACGATTGTCACTGAGGAGGTGTGGAGCCTACGGTCGGAAAATTCTTTCACTTGAGTGTAGCGGGCTCCTTGGCATGCAGCGTTGCAGAACACGTTAGTGTTGTCGCCTTCAGTGAACTTCTCTCTCATCTCTGAACACCAATCGATGACAGAGTTCAACCCTATGTGGACTAGCTATCCATCTAGGAACACAGCGGACGAGATGAGAGGATATGCGTTCTTACCAGGAGACAGTGTGGGAATTGTCGTTGTAGTAGTGGTCGTAGTTGTCGTTGTAGTGGTTGTGGTCGTCGTAGTAGTAGTTGTTGTTGTTGTAGTAGTAGTTGTCGTAGTTGTTGTTGTCGTAGTAGTAGTGGTAGTGGTCGTAGTTGTCGTTGTCGTAGTCTTGGTTGTTGTCGTCGTTGAAGTAGTGGTAGTCGTCGGTGTGGTTGTGGTTTTCCGGGTATCTGAAAGTGGCACGACTGTTTGATGTCTCGCGTGGTCTATCGGCGAGCGTTTCGATCGATGTTCCCTTCAAACCTCAAAGTCCGAGTAGCGAACCTCTTACATGTATTGGGGTCACATATAGCTCTCTTCGTATACTCCAGCGATTGTCCGGGGGTAAATCCCAGCTGTTTGAAATATTCAACACACCACTCCTTGCCATGTGCCCCGGGAACCGCGAGGTTGTTCGGAATATGGCTCTTATGCCGGAAGGAATTCTTCCCGGGGGCATCACAATTATTCAACGAATACTGGCCGGGTTTAATCATCAACTTGATAGTCTCTGTAGTTCCCAAATCGCATCGATCATGATGGGCGTAGTATGATGCCTGGTCCTCCCATCCGACTTGTCCTGAAAGAGACGAAACTGGGAATAGAATTTTTCAAAATGTGAGCATTCTGCGAGAGTTTTTCAATACTTGATGGGTATCAGTGCTGATGCGGCGTGATGTTTCAATAAACCAAATGACAGCGTGTCCGAGTGGTTAAGGAGGTGGACTAGAAATCCACTGGGCTCTGCCCGCGCAGGTTCGAATCCTGCCGCTGTCGTCAATCGTATAGGCACACGATTCAACATTATTCCCCTACTGTTCGAGTCCCTAGGAGGCCACATAGAAGATGCAGATGAATAACTCACTCGTAATAGTTGTTGTTGGAGTAGTGGTGGTCGGTAGCGGCGTAGTGATAGTCTTTTGAGTATCTACAAAACTAATATCAGAACAGCCCGATTCCCTAGGGATAAATGGAGACATGTGGAATTCCGCGATGACTATGGTATTTCCAAAGGCTATTCTATTGGAGCCCAGTGTAAGCGCTTCTCTAACGGCATAC